ATAACTAAAAAATCATAAATTACTACATCAATACCACAGAATTCCACTATAATTTATCAAACTTAGTAACTAAGCTGTATTTGGGTCGAAAAAATATAAAATTTCGAGCTGACTAAAAACACAATTTACCTCATTGAAATCTTGGTTTAAAGAAAGAAATAGCACTAGGTACATTAAAAAGGCTGAGAAAAACCACTAGGGTACATTCTGAGCTTCTGATTGGTTATTCATGTCATATATAGAAGTAAATATATATATAAGATAAGACCTTCTTATTTTATATTCTAGCTTGTCAGTATTGGTAATTTGAGTTTCTAGTTTGTATGAAACTATAGACTTAGTATTTTGACTTCACAAACATCTAATTTGAACCAGTGCTGCATTCAACATACCAAGGGACACACAAAAATCAATGTTTATCTGTGTTTTTTATATTTACTTTTAAATTAACAAATTGAGTAATGTATTGTTCTAAAATTTGAATTATAATCTACAGTTTGATACCAAACTTATTGACATAAATTCATGAAACAGTAGTTCAATAAAATTTTGAATGTGAGTCAACAAATGAGATGACATAGCCTTTCACCTGTGACCCGTCTCGAAAGGGTGATGAGAGTGAGGAGTTAACCTGTTGAGAAATATGCATTTTCTATTTGTCTTCATTTGTTCCAATCTCTTATGAGGCTATTCTGGTCCACTAATTTTTTCATGAATCTAATCCATTTAACGCACTCTCGTACTGGATTTCCTCAGCTCTGCTTGATCATATTTTCAATTACTGTGGTCTGGGTTGTTATGTTCCTGTCTAAAAAATCTCAATTTTAGTGAACCAGTAATCCTTATGACTCATTCTACTTCTCTCCTTCAAATGGAAAATATGTGGTTTCTATTATAACTGCATTTAGGAAGTTTAGATTATAGTGGGAAAGCAGAGCCTTCCTCCTGCCACAAGGACAATAAGTGATGTGGAGAACTATGGGTAAGTTGCTGCATGTCTGCATTGTTCAGAATTTTAGAAATATGTTTGTTGACAGCATGAGAGTAACTTAACAAGGAAAGACTTTTTGTATTTAAGAGGTAAGTACCTACTTCAAATTCATTTTAATTCTAAAAATGTAAAATTTCAATAGGAGTGCTACTGCTGAATGAAAAATGTTTTTATCCTAACAATAGACTTATAAATACATCTAATCTTGCAAAATATATTACAACTTTGTTTTAATATTAAGCAGAATTTATCCACATTTTTATATTTCAAGAATATAACACTTAAAAATAAGAGGTCATTTGTTATCTGTAAATGTGAATGTCCTTCCTGTGCAGAGGAACACATAGGCTGTACTACTAGGTAGCTTTCAACATGTAGAAAAGAGCATATTCTAAAAAAATTCCAAACTTGTTTGGTATTCCATGACATATCTTAAAATGTAACATACCTATCACAAATTATAATTTTACTACAGTGAGTTGAGCTGATGATCAGGAGCAATAATGAACTTGAGAGAGTTTAATAATTGCTAATCAACAGAATTCACCAATAGAACTCTTTCTGAAAATGTAAATTATAAATAAATTACACAATAAATTATCTGAAGTAAGATTAGTAGCTGGAAAGGAATGATTTTATTATTTTATCTATGATAGGCTTAGTTATTGTAATAAAGCGTGTATTCTTTAGTCACTTTTTTTTACTCATATAGAGAAAGTTGTTTTTCCAACTGTAATATATTTTTATAGAACTAAAAAATTTCAGCTAATATTAATTTAAGTCATTTATTTATAAAATGTATAACATAATTTATCTTTAAGACAATAATAAATTCATATTTTGTTAATCCACTTAAAAATTTCTGTTTCAGGTTATCAGCAAATAAGGAGACATACTGATACTTTGCTTTTTTTGTTTTCAGATTTTGAATGCATACTGACAAACGTAAGAATGAAACGCATAGCAAAAAACAGGTTTTTCCTTCCAAATGATGAAAAAAAGCGCACATTGAACATTCTGAAAGAAGCTATAAATGTAGAACATTGCATTGATACTCCAGATCCAAGCAAGCTTAAAACGGATAGAGGTAGGTTTCTTTCTCTCTGAATGTAGTTGTTACTTGCTTTTGTATTTTAAATTTAGAACTAGTTTGGTAGTAACGGAAGTTATATTTTCCTACACTAAAATTATATTTCTGATAGGTACTCACCTCCTCTCACATAATAGTTTTCTCATTCAATGCTGCCTTCTATATGCATAAAAATCTTTTTGCCTACCAGTAGCCTTGAAACTCCCACTTATCCCATGTTTCCAGGTAGTTCAGCTGTGTCTTAGCATGCAAATAAACATGTGACAACCCTCCATCAATAGATTACAATACACTCTCCTGTCACAGCTGGCTTCGTCTATACTGTAGAACACAATAACCACTTCGAGATTAGGCAGAAAAGAAGCACTGGAAGTGGGAGGAGAGGTAAGTATCTATTGGAAATATATTTTCTGTATGGAAGAATATTAACTTCTTATATAATGTCTTACCTCCTCTCACATAATAGCTAGAATCCCACATTATCCTGGTGGAGCGACAGGTGAGAAATGTACCTAGATGAGCACCCTTTAGAAAGCATCCAAAAAACATCCATTGAGTGTGACTTCTCGTGTTGCTCATGGAAGACTGCACCACATGTAAACCAGGTATATTATTTGCCCTTGATGATTGATTGTGAATGGGTGGCAAATAAGCACATATGAAAAGTATCCATACATGTCACAGGTATCAAATGGATAGAGTGCATCAGACCATATTCAGGAGGTCAACTCCAGTCCAAAACCAGTGGAACTGGGAAGGGATCATTCTTTCCACAGTTGGAGAAGGGTCCTCAACCATCTTTATCTGGATTTTAAATGGGAGTCATCTTCAGTCCAAAACCAGTTTTATCAGGGTATAGATCACCCAGTCCACAGTAGGCAGAGGATCCTAGACCAACTGTAGCTGGACATGCCCATGGTGTAGAGTGGCTAAGGTGCATCAGACTGTAATCAGGAGGTCAACTCCAGTCCAAAACCATCATTACTGAGAATGGATCATCCAGATCATGGTAGGAGGAGGATCCTCTACTATCTTCTCTCACACTCAGGAACCATAAGGGAAGGAATATTTTTGTTCTGAGAACTGAAGCTCTTGTGTGCATACCTAACACAACCAAGGTTCCCTTGGAAACAACATCTGGATGATGGTAGGAAGGTGGAATGCAAAGTGGAGGGTCAACTCCAGTCCAAAACCATGCAGCATTGGGAATGTATCATCCAGTCTGCAGTAGGAAGAGGATCCCAGCACACTCACATGTGAGAACTTATATTGGCTGGTCCAGCTCCAATCAACACCAGGAAGGAGAATTTCCAGCTGGAGGGTGAACTGCATATGACAGAAAAATCCCTACCAAAACCATACGGCATTTGGAATTGTACATCAAGTTCATGGTAGGAAAATAGTCATGCCATTTATACTGGCAGAACACCACTGCCATACTCTCAACTGAATGGGATATAGTACTCTTAGGAGGAAGCCTCCATGGTCCACAACCTCATCAGCTAGGAGCTAGTAAGTGGTAAGGGCTTCCATTCTCCACTGGAAGAAGGGGGGGGATAATGTGTTGGAGAGTCTAGAGGAATGCAGCACTGGAGAAAGTGTGATGGGTGATCATGAAACTATTTTTAAAAGCAGGCTAAAAATGATGTATGCAACCAGGAATGGAGGGATGAGCAACAATCCCTTCTCTGCTTTACTTATGATAGTCAATGAGATGGTAAGGTCTGGGTTGTTGTTTGGTGGTTACTGGCACAAAATAACTTGGATATCTGCATGACACAATATACCATGAGGATGAACCTACTAGCAGTACACCCCATTTCAGTGGTGGGCATTATTGATCTTATTGACTGTACAGTACAGATTTAAGAATAAGTATAACTGGACAGGCATCACTCACCACAGAGTGGGATTCAATATAGAAGAGGAATGTGACCCTGTAAGGAAAAGAAAGAATTTAATAAATGTACAAACTCACAGTTGAACAGATTTGTGTAGCATAGCTACTGGCGTATTGTGATATCTGGATGAGGATGAAATGGCCACCCAATGGGGTTAATGGGAGATGAACTTGTTGGATGTGGGGCACCTGCCAGCCCAGATGATTTCATCCAATGGGCACCGGGGAAAAGCAAGATGTCCAATTAGATATGATGACACCTGTAAAAACAAACTATAGGGAGCCAAGAGAGAATGATGAATATGCCAGCCTGATAAATTGGCAAATCCAACTTTTGAGAATGGGGAGTGAAACATCACTTAGAGAGGAAGGTTTCAAGTGGATAAATAAACAGGAACCACGGAAAGAAGCTGTGTGGGCATTAGACTTAAAAGACTATCCAGATCCAAATAGGAAGACAAATAGAAAATGGAAGATAGGGAAATCAGTGTAAAGGAGACCTTGTCTGCACAAACTGCCAACATCTTAGGTAGAAAACGGCAATCCAGAGACAGTAGAACCAAGGCCTGGTGAAAAAAATGTGATAAATCGATGGCAAAACATCTGATCTCCGATGATCATAGGGGAAAATGTTATGAAGGATAAATGTCATTGGGAACAGATTCAAATGGGGTTTGGATAAAGGAGTGGAGGATGAGGAGGGTGAAGGATCCGGAAAGAGCTTAAAAAAAAAAGGAAAAACATACAGAAACCAGTGCTCTCCCAAACTCTAGTTGGGGAGATGTGTATAACCACAGACTGGAGATGAATGGTGGAATGGTAACTGAAGAGCATGACAGGGATTCAACTGGGATGGGGCAAGTGGGCTTGGGAAAACTTTATAGAGGTATTAGTGTCAAATCTCATTCCAGTATACATAACACTAATTTTGGGAGTCTAAATATGGAAAAACATGACATGAAGATATGAAAAAACATTATTCTGAGCCCGAAGGTGTTGAGGCACGATGTGCCCCTCCGGAATGCAATTGCACCAGAATCTTTGGTCAGCATGGCCTCCAATATCTGTAAAAGTAAGGAAAACTAGGTATACTGAGAAATGGACCTAATTGAGGAGAGATGATACCAATAAAAGGTAACATTCCTGTGTCCCCATATCCAAGAAGGCTATTGATGGTATCAGTGCATCCATGTAGAAAATCTGGATTGCATGGCCAAGGAAGGAGGTGGATAAACAAGCAAACATCCATATCATCTTAATCTTGCCCAGATTCACCAGTCAAAGGTCTGAGCTTGGAAGAAACAGCCACATGATGGACCCCAACTCCTATTGAAAAAATGCAACCTCCACAGCTAAAAGTGTAAGGACTGTAGCCTGAGACATAGCAGATTAAAATGTTGTAATATTTGTTACTACTAAATTCAGAATTCAAATTCAACTAGAGTTAAGTTCAAAGTTAATAATCTACAGTGAAATTATCACTGCATAAATGAAGCAAAAAAACAACTAATTTGTTTAATAAATACCGCAACAAACAATAAACATAAAGTAAAAGCATAAGTGAAAATGAACATGTCTTAACACTACTGTGCCAAACCAAGAAGTGAATATTGGGTTCTACAGTACAGAGGGACCCAGCTGCGATAGGAGAGTGTGTCATGCTCCTATTGGTGGAGGGTTGTCACATCTTTATTTGCATGCTACAACACAACTGAATCACATAGAAACATGGAGTAGCTGTGAGTTTAAAGGCTAGTAGTGGGCGAACAAATCTGTGGATATAGAGTGCAGCATTGAACAAGAAAAGGTATTATGTGAGAGGAGGTAAGATATTGTATCGGAATGTAGAATTATAATTTGATGTTAGGTGTACTATTTTGATATTTGTATATTGGTAGATACCACGTTTTTACACTTATATAATGGGCTCGACATGACCAGGTGGTTAAGGTGCTCAACTCGCAATCTGAGGGTCGCGGGTTCGAATCCCCGTCACACCAAACATGCTCGCCCTTTCAGCCGTGGGGGCATTACAATGTGATGGTCAATCCCACTATTCGTTGGTAAAAGAGTAGCCCAAGAGTTGGCGGTGGGTGGTGATGACTAGCTGCCTTCCCTCTAGTCTTACACTGCTAAATTAGGGACGGCTAGTGCAGATAGCCCTCGTGTAGCTTTGCGCAAAATTCAAAAACAAACAAACTTATATAATGTAGTTTATCCTTGCCTTGGTACGTAATGGTTGATTATGTTTCAGCAAATCAGATAATAAAAGTATAAAATGTTAGGTGTGTAAATAACTGATATGTATAGCTAATAATACTACATAATTACCAAACAGAGGTTTATTTTGGTGGTAAAAATGTCTTAATACCTTTGATTAGAAATTTTACAAATATAGATGCAATGTTGAAATATGTTTGGTGTTATGAACTGAATTACATTTGTTTTGATTTCGTTATAACAAAAACAGTTGCAATACATTTGTAACAAAATTCAATCTTTTCTCAAGAGTTAAAATCAGGAATTTTCTGAAAGACTCAACTTTTTTTACAAAACAAGAATAATGGTTTAAGTTACTTTTTAAATATTATTTTGGAATATACTTGAAGATAGCTCAAAATTTATAATAATCTCTTTTGAGTTTCCAAGTTCAACATTTCTCATATGATGATATAAAGTGAAGCTTTTAGTGACAAAAACAGTATTTGAAAAAATAGAGGAATATAGGTGATATATGGAAAATATCTCAGTTGTTAAGTCAATACTTTGATAAAGAATATTGCAAGAGAACCTTTTCACTACAATAGCAGGACACTTTATTATATTTTCAATTTTGTGATTGATTTGTTTAAATATGACTCACACAAAATGCCTACTTAAATTGGGCATAATAATGTGACACATTTTACTCTTCTTGAAATAATGTAGAATATATCTTTCTTCACATATTTAGGTTATTTTTCTAAATGTTTGGGCAGTTGTTCTGTATGTAGTTGGCATCTACCTGCTAAACCAAAGCTGATGCATGAAGGTCATAAACATACTCTTAGTCATCTTACTTATGTAAAGGGCCTTGCTGTAATGTGGTTCACTATAG